ACACTGACTGACTGTACAGGACACACAGAGTTATAATTAGCCTGCTGGACTGAATTTTAAGAAGGCAGCTAATATACATTTTAGAGCGTTTCCAAGGTTACCTCAATGAAGAAATTTCAGCTTTTGGGCGACGCCGTCAAACGGCAAACAGTTTCTGCTTGCTTTTGCAAACTGTCACTCTGGTGCTCCGTGGTCTTGAATTCAAGCTCTTGTGCTGAATACAAGCTTGCTGCCATATTTCTACTGAGCTTCGTTCAGCCTACATTAGTTTATCTTTAAGACTGGCAGCTGGTATTCATGGTGGGGTCAGTAATCCTGCAGTTATCACCACTTTTGAGAAGCAAACTCTTAGAATGTAGTAAATGTCTAACTTTGTCTATACTCAGTGGGTGCGAGCACAAACACAGCAGGCTGTCAGAGTTAAAAATGTGTGCCAGACGAGCAAAAAACGACAACAACTGACGCACGATATAAAATCGACAATGCTTAGCAAATTTGAAAAGCAAATAGTAAGTGTGAATGGAAATCACAATATCAAAAAAAATGTTCATCGTTTTCTTGAATCATTGGAGACAGACATGCGGAAAGAAAAGAGAAAGTGTGGAAGAAAAGGAAAATGTGAAAGGAGACCATGTGCTGTGGCCACATAATCGAGCAGCAGTACATGACATACCCACAACTACTATGGATTTTGTTTTTCTGGGTTGCTAGGCACTATTTTGAGCCTAAGCAGACTGTCCTATGACTAATACATGATGAAGGGAAGGGCTGAATTAAATATTCATATCGCACATACAAACACAGTAAATGCATTTCTTGAATTCCTGGGCAACGCCGGCTTCCTTTGTGTGTTTAACAGAACATATTGAAAAAGAAAAGACACAAAACTAAAGAGAAGAGAAGCTTTGAATTTATTTCAAAGAGTGTTATAGTGTTATAGGAAAGCTGTGCGTGCACACGTGTGTGTGTGTGTGTGCGCTTGTGCGCGCATGTCAGTAGGATGGCAGTGGCAGATGGCAGAAAGATGACACTAGAGCTTGATGGGCAAGAGACAGGCCACACTTAAACGCACACAAAGGAAGATTTGAACGTGTGAGGGGCTGTTATACATCTTCCCTCTGTTACGCTAAATTCCATCACCTCATTTTAACCTCTTTCCCTTTGGCCTCATGGAAACTCTGTGTATGACTTTCTCTTTAATATATGCAGAGATCTGTATAACAGCCTGATTTTAGCCTGAAAAAGAAGTCACGGGGTGGTGCTTGAAGATCGGCAGACAAAGTGGGAGCTGTGCGTGACGGTTAAGGTCTACTTTTACCTGGTATAGGGTGTCGTAATGGGGGGAAATCTATGCTGCAAGATTTTATGACTCTTTATCTGCCACAACAATCAGCAACACAAATGCTGTTTAACTTCAGTTTTTATTGTGTCTCGGTCAGAGCAGTTTTACAGAAGTCGATTTTTATGTGTGACTGGAGGAAGTGACTTAAAAAGGAAGACAAATATAAGGCTCAGAAATGTGTGTAATTGTCCGCATGTGCAGAGGAAATGTATTTCGCGGAAACCAACCAGCTTCATTGGGTTGTCGACTGTGACCGGTATGACCTCTTAACGCCTGAGCGGGAAGACGGGTCAAGAGCTTTCTGCCATAACACGCAGTGATGAGAGAAGGTCTCCATGGGAACCAGAACAAACAAATAGGCAGAAAGAGAGAACATGTTGTTTTAAACCTAGTGTTTGCAATACTCATGGCACTACCCTTAAATAGCCTGAGTATCTCGGCTCAACAAGCGGTCACAGTGCTTGTTGTTAATGCATTTTCCAGCACATAAACAGTCCCAGAACAACAGATGACATAGTGTTGTGCAGAAACTGATAAAAGCCCAAAGTAAACATGACGTAGGAACACTTGAGGAAGGTTAGTATTGTTAATGAGATTATGGGTTGGAACAAAAAAACAGCAGTAACTAAATCTTCATTTGAGTCATCTCCCATTCTTTACATTCTTATTTAGGTTTTGCGTGTTAAATTATATTGTTCATTTTCTTAGAACAGGCACATCCACGAAGCACAAGATAAACATCTGGTGTTTCTGGGAAAATGTGTGACAGCAATGATGTTGCCAAAGTTTAATTTTCTTACAATTATGATTAAAAAAAAAAAATAAAAACATATCGACAAGTTACAGGATTACACATGTGGGGATAAACTCAACCGATGAATTGAGGTTGGATTGTTGATATGACAAAACAGGCTACTTGAGGGCATTTCCTGTTATCGGGAAATTATCAGTAAATCAAAATAATCAACAAACAGACTGACAATAAACCTCAGATCTTAACTCAGTAATCTGACTGAATCACCATTATATCGGTTTATAGCTTTCATTGT